TGGTTGTTTCACGGTGGTCTGCTTGAGCTTGAGCCACCGGTGTGAACTTAAGAGTGAGCCGTACCTTTCGCTCACACCTCTCGCACATTCGAGCATCTTTTCCCTCACTTCTTACTGTTTTCATTTGCGTGCACTCCCAACGCCAAACATAGCCCAGACACAAATATAACACCGACTGCCTGATATTCTCACAGCACCAAGTACATTTACTTATTATTAGGATTTACGAGGATTGCACAGGGGCTTAGCAGTTAACACTACAGTCTCTCAAAACTTTGAATGCATGTTGAGAAAAGCTCTCTCTTGCAGCCTTGCAGAAGAGAAACTATGCAACACTTAACAAAGACAGACATTACAGAAATTTTGTGAAGCATTGCAACCGCTCATCGTAGAGCAAAGAGAACATTTTTGGGGCGGCTGTGGCTCAGGTGGTAGAGCGGGTTGTCCACTGATGGCAAGGTTGGCGGTTCGATCCCCACATGCCGAAGTGTCCTTGGGCAAGACACTGAACCCCAAATGGCTCCCAATGGCAGATTAGCGCCTTGCATGGCAGCTCTGTCACCATTGGTGTATGAATGTGTGTGTGAATGGGTGAATGAGAAACAAGAAACATTGTAAAGCGCTTTGAGTGCCACAAAGGTAGAAAAGCGCTATATAAGTGCAGACCATTTACCATTTACCATTTTTAAAAGGCATGTGCACACATGGTGTATGGAACCCTATATAGTTAGGAGTAGGGATGCACGATATATCGGCGACCACATCGGTATCGGCTGATATTAGTGTTTTTTCCGTTATACTGGTATTGGTTCGATGAACAAATTTAGCCGATGTGAAAAAATGAAACCAAAAAAAAAAGAATATCAACATCGGTAATATCGGCTATAGCAGAAATCTTAATATCAGATATCGGTATCAGCCAGAAATTTTAATATCGTGCATCACTAGTTAGGAGTTGTTAACCTAATTTCTATGTCAAAACATAAGACAACTGCAACATTAGTCTGTCTTAACTTGACCTCAACACAAAGTTTCCCTTTTTCTCTGTGCCTGTGTGCATCTACTGTGTGTGTATATGATGTATGTGCAGTCTGACAACTCAGTGTCACTTCTAACCATGTCCTACACCAGATTCTAAATACCAAGATAGCCAGTCTTCCATGGTTTCTCCATATCACAGGAGCACACAAACACACACATACCCCTCTACAGGTCAAGTCATGTCAAGGATCAAATCCACAGAGGTCAACAGGTTTTCTCAGCCTCATTGAGTAAACAGATTCGGTAGCACAAGTAGCTTACATTCTTTAAAACATTCACTTCTGTCTTTAAAACCAACAGTGCCGAACTGCATTTCACTGGCAGTTATTTTACTGGCTTGATAAAAATCTTATTCTATGATTGCGTAAATACAAACAGCTACAAATTGAAAACGGCTCTTACAAACAGTACAAAGTGAATACAAAGTGAAACAAGAAAAAAAAGGAACAATAAAAGCGAACATAGTCGTCTAGCTGGTAGGCATTATATTTCATTTTCAACTGACAGGTTCATATTTTTCTTGGTTTAATTTCTCCTTTTCCCTGTGCAGTCTCGTGGCATTTTCCATTTCATTTAATCCAATCTTGTTAAATTTTTTAAGGTGTTGAAGTCATTTAGAGGAGTTGGTTTGCAGTCTGGCTCCGAGAGACTAATGGGAGCTGCTCTGCCGGGGTACAACTCTGAAACACAAAGCAGCAGGAAGCCTTCACTCCTTTACACGTGTCACACAAATCCTGCCTTTACATAGGTAGAGGAAAATAAACAACCTTTGCTTCCCCTGCCCTTTCTCCTTTCCCTCTTTCTTGCTCTCTCTTAGTCATATGAGGGTGTATAAACATGAGCCTCTGTGGATCAGTGCGCACACAGACAGGATATTAGAGTGATTCCCCTCACGTCTCCCTTTTTGAACCTGCATCACAGACAGCGAAAAGTGGCAACTTTCCAAAAAAAAAAAGGGCCATGCAGGGGTCACCTCTCCTCTGCTGCATTCCTGCTGAGAAGGTTTCAACCTCAGCATCCCAGCAGAGGAAGCAGAAAACCCCTCACAGCTCTGGACAATTAGAACTGGGATCAGAAAGTTCTGGGACTGTTCACGGTGCGCATGCATGAAGCAAGTCACGCGAGTGCAACATGTGCGAGCAGTAACTGTCATGAGTCTGTAGACCATGTGTTTCGACACACTTTAGGAAGATTCAGCGCAATAATAAATGAGGAAATACGTTCAAGCACAGTAAATTAAACAAGCTGGATTGAAGGCTTGTGAGAAACACCTCACCAGGACGCTCTATGCTTTATCTTTTCCTTATCTGTCACCCATCTGTAGCTCAAAGTCGCACCCTTATCCCCAAATCTCCAACTCCAAACCTCTAAAAATTAGTTGTAAAACAAGCCGCAGCTGCAGAAATGTCAGCATTGAAGCAATGTCACTTGGTCCGTTGGTGCCAGTTAAAACCCAAGTCTTTCCTTACAGCCAAACGCTGTGATGGAGGAAGCAGAGAGGGGATCAGCAAGGGATTGAAGAGGATATGGATAAAGAGGAAACAGAGGTGTGGTAGGGAGGAGTCTGGATGGAGAGGTGTTTCATAAGCCCTGCTGCCAGATCCTGTACCTCAGGTTTCCAGGTCCCAGCTGTAAGGGTGAGGACTTAAGAGGCTGATTCAGAGAAAACTATGTATAACCCCAGTAATAGGAGGACATCCCAACATTGGACTTAACTCTCACTTAAGGCTCAATTACCATCCCCGTCTCTGTGCTTCCAAATTTAAATGCGAGGCAAAAGTGGATTCAGATTGAGTGGCTTTTAGACCGTACAGGGTAAAGACCACAAATGCGAGCAATATACATTTATATGTCGAGCGGCTGCAGGTTATAATCAGCGAGAGGCTGCTCCAGGTGGCTGAGGCAACACTGTCAGCTTCACTTCCACCTGTCACTCCGCAGTCCTCATACCACCACATTACTAAATTACAATCTAATAACCCATCGCAGGCTCATTACTCCGACTCAGACTGCAGCAGTTTAGATCAAATATGAGATCACCTTACATCGCTTTAGATCAGGAAAAATAAAGGGCTTGCCATAAAAAACTCAGTAACTGCTGTGCATAAATGTCATTAGGCTCGATTGGTAATGATGAGGGAGCAGAGAGAGAGAGGGGAAAAGGGTAAGGGGGGAAGCACAGAGTATGAGGAGAGTGAATTGAGAGAAAATTAGGCACAAGCTTCTTAGGGCAGGGCCAATCTTAGCACGCCATCTAGTGGTGAACAGTGGTACGGTTGGAAAGGAGGTGCGTGGGGAATCCTGACACGAGGACGACCATCACCAGGTGATGACATTTAATCAGAGTCTTGTTTAGACTTGGAAGATTACCTTGTGTGCTTTAAAATAATAATATCGAGACAACATCAACAGCTTATGCGTGGAAACAAACTAGTTCAAACTCAGCAGATGCTAACTCAGCAGACAACTTACTGTGCAAAACTAAAAGAATTAAAGACCAATGCATCAATGAACAGGATACAAGTTTGGAGTAAACTTGGGGTCTTGATGGGGTTTGTTTGGTAAAATTGGCCGTAACTCTTTCAAACTTGTGCAGGAGCAGTAGGTGCAGTGATCTGGATGCAGGTTGGTACAACAGCGAGAGCCGTCACACCGAAGCAGCGACACCTCTACTCCTTTACTCCACCTTCCGAGTCGATGTGAATGGATCTTTACACATCCTGCGCAAATGTGATATCATGCCCATCAGAAATGCCTTCTGAAGGCTGCCTAATGAATATATAGCACAGAAAGGACCCCAATTAGTGGGCCGGCGAGGGGAGGAGGCGCCATGCCATACCACATAAACAAACTTATCTTGACAGGGTCTCTTGGCCAAAGGAGGGAGATAGGCAGATAGCGAAGGAGGCCGAGAGAAAATGAATTACCTTCCTGACACACGTCAAAGCCAATCACCACGAAGCATCCTTTGCCGTTCCCGCGCCCCAAATCCCCGCCGCCGCCGTTGCGTTTCATCTGCCAGTGTTAGTATGCACACAGGCCGTGCGCCAGCCTCCAAATGTATTCATTTATTCAGAGCCCCTCGGAGAAATCACAGTGTCTTGTTGTCCTTTTTTTCCCTGGCTGTCCAGATGGAATTTGCGTGAATAACATCAGTTTAGTGAGGCAGAAAATAAGTACAGGCTAGCACAGCAGAGGGGACTAGATTACGCCCTCACCCACCTACCCAAAAAAAGACAAGTGTCACCTTCACATACTTCTTTCTCCCCCTCCGTCTCCCGTCTCATTTTCTTTTCCAGTTCTATTGAAACTTAGCAGATGAGGGGGGTGGGGAAGCTAAAAGCGAGAGATCCATACAGCGTTCACCACAATTATTTTGTGTTATTATGCACCGCAGGTGCAATTAAACAGAGGATCATGAATCAAAGAACTAGAGCGGCTTTTTCATTATAAAAAGGTGAGTGGGCTTCGAGGGAGAGCAGCCCCGTGCTCATTTATCCTTGTTTTGTTGTGCATTTATAACACTACTAATTGCATTAATTAATCAGATGTACTTCTAAAAGAAACGAGACCATCTTGAGTAAGTAATTGACTGAGATGAAAGTGAGGGAAAAAAATTGTAAATCAATATTTCCAACTTCAATAAAGCCCAAGAGAAATTAAAATGTCTTCAGTCAGAAGATTGGGACGCCTCAATATCCGTCCAACCTATCAAAAAAATTCACTAAACAAGGCGCCTTCAAAGAGTTGACTTACTGTTTTCAGTATGAAGTAGTAAAATTGATTTCGGGTTGATCTATATGATGTGCTTTGCAATTACCCGAAACCAAACTTTATAAAAGACAGACATAAAAAGAATGTGAACTGCTTTGAAACAGGTGTTATTGTTTGTGACATTATTAGAGGATGACAGACAGAAAGGCATAAGAGCGTACGTGAAACAGTAGAACATCTCCTACCTCTCTGAGAACTGTGCTGCCGTATCCTCTGTACAAGCCTCGAACACCCTGAGAAAAACAAAAACACACACTTAATTTGACCTGGACATTTTGAATTTAAGAAATAAAGCCATATTTACTGCACAGCACAAAGTATCACCCAACAATTATTTCACAAGTTGCAAAGTTCATTATTTTGCATCAACCAATGGCCAGATTAAACTTTTGTATGATTCATCTGCTAAAGCCAACTTTATTACAACTTCTTGTTGTAATTTTGCACACCAACGCAACTGCTGAGAGCTGGATTTGGGTAATTGTACAGGTATACTTCAACTAAAGAACTTGCTGGTACTCATGTGGAAACCCTCTCTCCATACACCTTCCTAATGTTGGAATTGGTGCAACTGCATCTGGCAATTTCTCAAATTTTCTTAAACTGACAATCCAACACTAACACCCATGTAATAAACAACTAAGATGGGTGATCTCGTCCTCACTGTTCCATCTCGTTCTCTTGTGAACCACAGACTGGATATAAAAGATGCATGTGTCTTTGGGATTAAAAAATATTGTGTCAAAAGTGAAAGTTGAGCCAAAGTGATGACATTTTTCACATTCAACAGATGGCGACTCCGCAGGTTGTATTAAGGTCCGATTCTATAGAAGTCTATGAACAAAGTTACCCTGCTTCTCCCTTGGGGGTAGAGTAGATTAAAAAAGAAGTAGATTACGTTTTAGAGCGGGTCTACCTTGTGATTGACAAGACACTACCATATCGCCATCCCTTGTTCCCATGAGGTTTGGTTTCCAATGACCAAGATGGTGACGGCCAGCAAAATCAAGCCGTTAAAACAATGGCCGACAACCCAACTGGTAACGTCACAGTTGCTTTGTCCATCTTTTATTTAGAGTCTTTATCATGAATGTGAAATCTTTTAAAAGCTTTTCATAGGGAATTTCTTCAAAGTCGGCACAAATGCTGCTTGAACTCAATAAACTGATCAGATTTCGTTGGTCTGTGACTTCACTAAACACATTTTTGGCCATAACTCTAGAATTTACATACTAAATATGACATATTTTCCAATGGGATAAAATGAAGCAATGAACACTATAATGTACTGCAAAAACTTTTCTGTCCATTTTTTGGACTCATAACTGAGGAACAGAAGCAAGACTGTGACTATATTTCCCCTTAGGTCCGATGCTGAACTGGTGACGTTAATCTTGGGTTCCCACCATGAAACAGTGGCGACTGTATAGATCTTCTCTGCTGCTGTGTGAAGCATCCACACTTAAGACTTTTGTAGCTTCTTTGCAGCAACATCCATATTTGAATCATTGTTTGCTATCATGGCTACAATTTTGTGTTTGTTCTGTCAGAATCAGCCTCGATGGTCAAACTTGTGAACACATACAAGGAATTTGACATTGTTTTGTTTCTTTTAAAGAACTGACACAGTCCTCACTACATCATAGTACAGAAACACAGGAAGACATTGATGTAAACTGCGACTTTCTATTTTAGTTGCATTTTAGTGCAGACCAGAGAGTGTTTTATCCACAAATGTAAACTTTCTCAATCTTAGAGCACGACCCTTTGGAACACCTACAAACACTTCTGCTTTCAGGAGTGGCCACAATTAATGTGCATGAACTCCTTCTTTCCGAGCACACCCCTTTAGCGTTTTGTGTCTCGGTTCAGGATTGGTATGTTTAAAGCCTCTTTGATCATCTGACTTGCCCTAATGAGGCTTCTTCTCTCCAGACTTCTTCTCTCGCAGTAATTAACTTGGTGAGCGCAGTACAACTATTACCAAAACGAATGACGGCCAAAACCCCCGAGAAAAAAAAATAACAAAATGAATGAACTAAAATTATCCTTAAGGAAGCCTTTGATTGCCAGATACCTCTTCTTTGAGTGTCGCCAGCAACACGCTGTATGTGGAGGATGAAGGAGAGGCTTGGGTCCTCTGTTTGACCACCTCTGTGGGCACCCGGATCAGACACGCCACCTACAGGACGAAGAAAGACCACAAGTTAAATCAAACAGCCTCTTAATGTATCAGCTTGTTTTCTAAATTTGTACAGGGCTTTAAATATCCCTGGTGTGCTTAATTGAGGAGTTTGTATATGAGAAAAGACAGCCCTACCCCCTTGCACACACACACAGACAACTCCCCTCGGTGCCCTTTTGCTGAACATGATGTCACCTTCTGTATGTTTTTGCTATGTGGCAGGTGGCCATGATATGAGGGGAGCAATTACATCAGCTTGGCAGGCTAACGACCGCTCTGGTTAGCGTGCAATTTAGCCAATTTACAAACCCGTACACACGGCGGACGCGACACCAGAGCAACAGCGGCAGTGTCTGCAAAGATGTCGTGGGGTTGACTGTATATCTGTGTCCAAAGAACAAGCTTTCATCAAACACGCCGACACATCCAGATATGCATCCACACTTCAGTAACCACACTCCCTGCTCAAGTTCCAACCCATCCACCATATGTCAACAGAAATATGGACTGCCAACAGCTAGTGAAGATAGACATGAATATTTATGCATCATAACTCCCATCGTCCTAAAGGCAGGCAGGCAGGCAGGCAGGCACAGCTGCCCACCTGGCGACTTGATTTCCCATTTATCCTGCATCAGAGTGGAAATACAGGCTAACGGCAAGCAATCTTAGAGAGCGATTGGTGAGCTGCCCTCCTGCTGCGACTCCCCTCAGTCACACAGATGCCAGGCTGCTGGTGCCACCCTCGCCACGGCAACGTCAAGTGGGGAGGGAAGCAAAGAGAGAAAAAGTGATGGAGGCACTGCAATAAAGATGAAATGCATCCTTTTCCTGTTTTTCTCATTCTTCATTCAGCTATCCATACTGATTTAGCATTTGGGAGCCAACATAAGGCTGTTTCGCTTTCGGGGGGCGGGGGGGAAGAGACACCCAGCCAGCTGTTAGAGAGTTCACTTCTGTTGGACACGTGTCCTCTCTATTATCTCCTCAGTCTGACACCAAGGACACCTTGTGAGCAAGAACATGCATCAACGAGGGACACAAAAGGAGAAAGGATACATCAGCAGTGCTGGAAGGAAAATCACAAACTGAGCTGTAGAATGTGTGACTGAACGGGCAAAGTTTTTGTTCTGTATCTCCAGAAATACTGTTGACAACTGATTAGTATTTGGTCTATTTCTTAACTTTGTTCTGACCTTCACGGTGTCACTTTTTCTCCAGGGCAACGGCGATCTTCCTCTTTTCAGTACACAGTGAGCAGATAAACCTCAATCTCTGTACATAAGAGCAAAAACAAACGACTTGAATGAGGCTCTATGAAGAATTCTGTGCAATTCTTATGGGTATTTCACACCAGTGTGACAGCAGTCGAACTGCAGCCCAAACACGGTGCAACACTACCACCAAGTGGCCACACTTCCGCCTCCTCGTGATAACTAAGCCGGCCGCATCCATCTCTGAGATCTCATTTGCCCTCCCCTTTGGTCAAGTTACCATTTATAATACACTGTACATCATGTTTACCCCCAAACCAATTCTCCAAAGGACAAGAATAAGGCAGCTAAATGGGAAGAAAGTGGCTATGACAAGTAATTACTGACGTAATTGGATGGGAGGCTTGGAGTTAAGACGGCCTTTCCTCTGCTGTCACTGCAGCGGGGAAGCCGGAATGAGACTGAGATTATACCAAATAAATTAGGGACATTGTTTATTTGGGAGTCATTTGTGCACCTAGGGGTGGTGAGAATGATGCTGAGTGGATAAAAGATCAAGTGTGCAGCCTCTGAGGGCATTTCAGAGATCTGGAAACTGCAGCAAAGGGGGGAAAACAGTGATTCTGAATCACTGGGGACACAATGTGATCCAACAGAGGATCAAAAAATGTAAAGATAGTATGACGTAAGCAAGAAAGAAAGTAGTTTAAGAAGCTGACTTGTTAGCTCATCTTCAGGGGAGAGCTGTAGGAGGATCGGTTCTTCACCTCCTTAGCTTGCCCTTCATTCTCAACGCTTTCCTCTGGCTTGTAAACTTATTATAAATCCATTGGCAGTCTTTTAAATTCCTGCTTCCATTTATCTTTATTTACAAGCTGTTGGATTCGTCAAGCGGCCTTCATTAGGAAGCTGCCTGCCCGTGATTGAGGCCTTTCAGGTTCCCTTGGCATGTTGTCGTTAATCCAAACGACAGAGCGTGATTTCGGTTAGCAGCACTGGCCGCCAAACAGCAAGGTAAGGAGGCAACGTTCAATCATGAGCGAACCACAGTAAGGAATGGGAAATTAGCAGAGACTCACAGCACATTAATGGCACAGCCAGCAAATCAAGCCACAGACTGAGTCATTAAATCCCTTTCTTTGGCTCTGTCCCGCTTTTACAGCTCATGGCCATCAGGACACAGTGGTCAGTCAGGACCGTGATTACCAGAACAACAATAGCAACAGGTCAGAAAAACATATAGGCTGCAATAACTGTTATGGACTTCAATTTCTTGGATTTATTTGTCGTTAAAACACACCGCAATCACCACCGAGACACAAGACACCACTTTACCGCAGTCGCACGTATGAAACAAAAAATGCTGAACCAACAACTGAGGGGAAAATGGCCAATTTCCTTGAGAGGATAACTGCGGTGTAGCTTTATTCTTTGATGACAATCAGATAGAACTCGCGCCTTGTTATTACAGTTCAAAAAAAGCAATGCACAAATTGACTTGGGCTGAAAAATTTGCAGCAGAATTCTAAAAAGATCGAAGCGTATGTACAAATGTTTGTACCGAAGCCCTCAAAGGCTAATAACTTCTCTATATGTATGAGTTTTGATAATAACCCGCAATACTCGAAAAAGCGCCACGGCACCAAGGAGACTGAAATGAGGGACGTCAAAGGGAAGAAGAGAGGAAGAGAGGGGAGAAAAAGGTCATGAAGAAAAAGGGAAGAGATGAGGACACTGCATGTCTCCAACTCTGAAACAACAGCCAATAAATCACAGAGCGTGGCGCTGCTCGAAGGCGATGCATGGATTATTTCTCAGTGCCAAGTTAAGTGGCTGCCAGTTTCTCCCCCCCCCCTCCCCAAAAAAACTCCTCCCTTGTGCTCCCCTCCTTCTCGCTGCCCCCCTATCTTGTCATGTCACACTGTATTTTCCAGTACATCCTCCCACAGACGTGTGGCGGCGAGAAGAGGAGGAGGAGGAGGCGGAGGGAGGAGGGGAGGCCGGTTGTAGATGCGCGAGAAGCCCGCTGCCTGGCCTTGACAAATGAGCTTTCAGGGCAGACGTCGAGCGAATGGGAATGAAGATAAATCTGATCTAATGGCTGGATAACAGCCTGCTAGAGCCTGACAGACGCCATCAGCTTACACATTCTTTATGGGAGCGTCCCACCACTGCAGTCGCACAAACACCAGCGCGAGGGGGATTTCTCTCGTCGTCTCAAACCTCCCTCGTTCTTTTTCTCTCCACAACTTCTGACCGTCCTCCCGTCTGTCCTCCTTCTTCTGTCTGTCCTGCTTTTGTTTACGAGTGAAGCCGGGTGTTAAGTGAGTTAATACAGCAATGAGATTAGTTTGGACGTACGAAGAGCAGAACGCAACAAATTCCCCGTCTTCAACCCGAGGCGCGTCTTTTCGCCACCTGTGATCCCGATTTCTATTGAAAGAACTTGATTAAAATTGTGAACTTTTAATTTACCATATAGAAAACCTTCTCACAAGTTTATCACACGAGATGATTACTGTGATAAAGCTTGTTGTTGCTTTATAGATTTGAACATTCCTCGTTCCCCTCAAAGACCATTTGTTAGACCAAAGGAGTGGCAATCAAGGCAAAAAAAAATTGGTTCGATTTAAGTCTTTTCTTCTCTCTTTTTTTTTTTTTTTTTCAATTTCCATCTCATTCTTTACACAAAATAAAATCTGAGGCACAACTCCCTCTGGTATGTCCATGAGAGACTTTCACTTAAGTCCACATCTAGTAACTTAGTGCCAAGTCAAGCGCATCATTCTCAGAGGGAGGCTTAGAGATGAAATTAGCAAAGCAATAAGTGCCATAAAGCTTCTGCTGTGAATGTTGTGGAAACAGTTGGTAAAACACAACTAAGTGGACTCCTGGGGAAAGAATCATGGCTTGATGAAGGGGTGGAGTGGGGATGTCAGACAAGGACCAAATAACAAGCTACTTTTTTTAAAGTTCCTGTGTGCCAAAACCCGACCAAACCCAGCTGCTCCCCCCACAAGAAGAAATCAAGCGGGGGCAACAAAAAGCACCACAAACAAATGGAACCAGCACGGAACTGAAAACTGATGGAGTTTGCATGGATGTTGTCCTTGTTTTAGTCAATTAGATTTATACAGAGGTGAGAGATGGGCAGAAGAATCGGCATTGTTTTCATCTGTGGGGTTTAAATATAGCCAGGTAAGAAAAGTTACAGCAAACTGTTGACACTAAAGAAACAATCTTCTATGAAGTTCACGAGGATATTTCAGAAAACTGGTCGTTTATTCACAGAAAATGACACTAAAATTTCGAAATAATAAGTCAAGCAGTCACATTTCAAAACATGAATATGCTCCTTTAATTGATGACAAAAAGCATTAAGTCAACATTTCCTCTGTCAAAGCTTTAAAAAAAAAAAGCTCTTCCATCCTCCTCTGTTTGAGTCCAAAACTGGAGAACATGTGACAGAGAACAGAGAGCAGGCAGTCACACCAGCAGCCCTCTGCCAAACATAATTGCTAGTAACATCAAAACAAGCAATAAATAGCGACAAGAATCCCCTCATAAATCAGCAAAACCAACAGATAACATTCAGATCACCTACAGCTTGAAGGGTTGTGGCTACAGAAGTGAAGCACTACAGTGGAAACCATCCACAAACTCAAAGGAAGGGACAGCTAAGTTTATATCTGCAAAAGAACACAGAAATGTCACTTTTGTATGAGGCCAAACTCAACGGATGTGATGGTAGAAAGTTTGTGCAAAGAAAAGCCAGATCGGGAA